GCTGAAGGCAAGTCCACACTGAACCCCCCCTGTAGCCGGATTTTATCAAGTTCTCCTGAGTATTTCCCTCTAGCACATTCCACAGGAAAACACAAACCTAACCTCAAGCTCCATTATACCTACAGACATTTTGGGAAAGAAAGATAATATATCTCACATGTTATTTTCTTCCAGAATAAGATATTTACAGCAGTATTCTGCTCAGATAGTTTAATAAGATCAGTTGAATATAGAAGATTTAAACAAATGTATTTTAAAAACAGATGGAAAAGCAGGCCCTGTTAATACCTCTAAAGTGCTGTCTGTCATAAGGCCAAAAAGTTTGGCCCCAAGGGACAGTGGCAGCTGTGACTCACTGCCATGACAGTCTTCGTGGAAATTAGGCCTCTGGATTGTACCATGTCCCTAATTTATAGATTTCCACTCTTCTGAACCCACCCTGATATTTTAGCAGCAAAATATTGAATCTGTGTAAAAGGGCTGGCTCCTGACTGGCTGTACAGTCAAGTCTCCTTTCTACCCCCACCAAAGGCTTCCAGTTGTCAAGCCCAGTCCACCAGTCCTGGTCTTATCTCTTGTGTTGAAGGAGCCCTATGGGAGCCACTGGGAACTTAACACAAATCTCTAACGATCTGATCTGTACAAAACATAGTTCTTTTGTATTTTTTGTACAAAATATAGGCCTATTCCTTCCTTTGACTCAGACTTGAACCTTCTATTAATGAAGCATTAAGACAAAATTTTCTAAAGTCAAATTCATATATCTGAGTAATCAGTCAACCAAAAGCTTCCTAAATGCCTTTCTATTTCTGAATCCCTTATCCAATTAATCACTAAAACCTGTCAATTCCTGTCTAAATATTTCTCCTGGCTTCCCTACTCCATTCCTACTTTCCACTTAATTCAAGCAATCAACTTGCTCATTTGGATTAACATTTATGTATTTATTTCTGTTCTATCTTGTTCAAACAGAATTTGCAGTGGCTTCTGAAATATAGGATAAAACACAGAAAATAAAAATGAAAGGAAAAAACAGAAAATCATATAATCCACAAATTAATATATTGAAAGAGTCTTAAACACTGACTAAAAATGGACTTTCATTGATTTTTGAAGTGATAAGAAAAGACAGCAACTCAATCTCAATTACAAACTACAGTCCCCATAAACATATAAATGGGGAAAACAGATTTTTTTCTTTCAAATTCATGCAGAGTTACCAGATTCAAGAAGACTAACTCATATTGTAACCAAACTAATAAGGGACTGAAACATGAATTAGAATGCCAATATTTTAATATAAAATGATATGCATTACTTTCACAAAGTCGGGAATGCTTCTTATTAGTAGGGCAGCACATTTGCCTCCTACAGAAAATGTGCATGGGCCCTAGCTGGTTTGTCTCAGGGGTTAGAGCGTCTGCCAGCAGAATGAAGAGTCCTGGGTTCAATTCTGGCCAAGGGCACGTATCTTGATTGCAGGCTCAATCCCTCACCCTGGTGGGGGAGCGTGTGGGTGGCAACCAATTGATGTGTCTTTCTCTCCCTTCCACTCTCTTTGAAAAGCAATGGAAAAAATATCCTCAGGTGAGGATTAAAAAAAAAAGAATAAGATTTGTATGGGAAGCCAATTTATAATAAGGTTTTTGATGAGCATGGGACCATATCAAGGAACAAGTTATCCTAAGCAATGTCCTCCACCTAGGTGAACTAGAGAAACCTCAGGAGCTATGGGAAAGGCTGTTCCAGATATTGTTCAAATCCATTGTCAGAATTCCCACCCCCACTCAGCCCACCGCTGCTGCCAAGAATCTGAATAAGCCAAAATTTACATCTCTAACTTGCTTTTGTTGTGGTTGTCATTTTAATCTATTTAGCTAGTCCAGGTTGTCTAACCAACCTTAATGATGTTTTCTTTCCTTAGATATTTAAAACAAAAAATTAGATTACTGGCAGAAATTTTTACTTCCTACTTCAGATCTGAAAAAACATTTTTTTTTTAAACAGTAAAATTTAGATGTATGAGTCTATCAGTTGTGAGTGGATTTTACAATTTAACTGTCAGCACTTTGTGCCCCTGCCAATAATACCATTTTCCCATGATTTCTTTTCTTAGAGCAACATTTCCTTTTAGAAACTCAAGTCATAAAGTAATAGTTATGTAAGAGATTAATACCCTTGATCTCAGTTCCTTGTTAGTAAAATGAGAAAAATCAAAGTTCTCTTCAAGTTATATAATCTGTGGTTTAGTAATTTATATTACAATTCCATCTAAAAGGCCAAAATGAAACTTTGAAACTCCTAGAAAGTTTAATCAACTTCTGAAAAGCCCTTGTTCCTAGTACAACCTAAAAATTAATTGTTACACTTGATTCTTTTAGTTATACCCAGAATGCACAGATCTGAACTACCAGTTGCATAATATTAATATAGAACATATATGAACATATATAAACACATACATACACACTTATACACGTCTCTACATACATACGTAATGGCTAATTATAATAAATATACCTCAACACTACTGATTTAGACATACTTTAAGCCTCCATTTGTCCAGATAGAGCCTTTAGCCAAACGTCTCAGATTTGTGAGGATTCAGAGATTCTTTTAGATCTCATTTAATCTGATAAACTTATCTAAAAAATGACACACAAGTAGAACTTGGCTAAACTAGAAAAGTGTATTTTTCCAATGTCACCAGCAGAAAATCACAAAATAAACAAACAAAAACAATCTAAGTACCAGTCAATTCACAAGATAAATTTTTCTTTCAATATCTCCAACTTCTCAATTACAGATGAACAGGTACTATATGTAACATATTGTTACATACACCTTTGATACATGTGCCTCTAATTTCTGAACCTTTCCAAGATCCTATGACCAATCAACTTGCTTCTTCATGGATGTTCTACCTGAGGGCTTATATTTCCATTTTCTTGGGCCTGTTAAATCTGATTAACACTCCTCTATTGCCTTTCTTTGCATTTTATCTTCTATCTGCTCTATCTCCTCTTGCATTCATTTTTCCCTCCTGTGGCTATACATTTTTAGTCCCTTCAGGCTGGTAAATGAAGGAGTGGAAATTAACATGTGTAAATAGCATTGTTAAAGAGCAAGACCTGTCATGTTTCTTTACATTTCCTTATCCCAATTCAGAAATTTGGGGTCAAATTTCAAGGGCACCCTCCTTCTAAATCCCTAAATAGTTTGTTGGTTCAAAATTTCAAAGAAGAAATCAACCTATAAGGGTTATTTTTCAAAAAGTATCTTTAATTTCTCAGTCAAGAAAGAACTAAGAAATAAAGACTGACAAAAACATCTCAACCCTCTATTAGTGAGGTGGAAAAAACTTGAACAAAGAAAATCCTAACTATGAAAGGTGAAGTCAAACTCTAGACATCACATACTCACAGCTCTTAAAGGGCAAGGAGAGCTGACACCCTCTTAATGGCACCTGGATGATTGACAGTGATGACACCCAATTACATCCCTTCTTATATAGGTCATTGAGAGCTGTCCTACACCTTTAATAAGTAGTAAGCATGCATAATTTCTCCAAAGAGCAAAAAATAAGAATTTTACAGGACACTCTATGGTTCCATTTCCTTTCCTCATTTGAACTTGCATACTTTATCTTCCAGGATGAAATAACCTAGGCCTTTTAGCACCACGCTGTAGGAAAACTATCAGCAGTCTATGGATCCTATCTATTACCAAAAGAAAAAGAATGTCTTCGATTTGGCAAATGGCTAAGAATCACCTATACATGCACCCCTGTAATGCAAGGTTTACATGGGTTTCCTGAGACATATCCAAAATATAATATTCCATAAGTTCTTCAGGCATTGAAATAGTGACAAAAATGAGCCCTGATGTATTTCAAAAAGGAGGTTTTGATTAGTTACTATTAGGATTTTTAGGACTGCTGTAATCAATTAAATAAAAATGGAAAACAAGTGTTGCCTTATTTTCCATAAACAAGGCCTTTCCAGAACATTTTTACTTTAAAAGTGGGTTTTAGTTTTATCTTTTAGTATCCACCTATCTCAGGCTGCCTCAGAAGTTAAGATGCAGAACTGCAAATTAACACAGAAGTTTTCATAGAAAGAAAAGTTAAATGTAAAAATGACTACACTCCCCTACATCTAATTACTAGAGAGACAGATCCTGCTGGCCAAGACCCATTGTGTTCCATAAGATTACCTGCATAAATGAGCTATGTGGTCACAATGTCTATGACACTAGAATATTGTAGGTGTGTGATCCATACAGTGGTTTCAAGGAGCCCACCCTCAACTACCCAGAGAAATGGAAGAGAGGAAGCGCTTGGAACTGTTTCAATGTTCTTCTGAGTTTCAGATATAACCACAGGCCAGATTACATGAATCGAGGGCGATTAGGGCTCTTTACAATTCCATTTTCCAAATGACAATATTCAAAAAGTAAAATAACAATATGCAAAGCAACTGGGGCCCTCTGGTTCTGGGGTGTGTGAAAACATTGGAGGGAGGGCTCTTTTTTGGATAACACGCTACCATCCTTTGGCTAGAACCACACTAGCTTTCTTTTCCTTAAAGCCACCTGCAAAGGTTATGCTAAAAGATGCCAACTATCTTCAACTGCAAACGGTTCACATCAATCCAAGGTTTAGCTTACCACCACAGCCCCCCACTAGCTTCAAGAAATTTAATATCTCAGCAACACGAATGTGGGCCTTTGCAATGCCCCTGCTTCCCCCCCTATGCACTCACATTGCACAGTGCTAAAAACAAGATAAGACTAATAAAATAGCATACCCCTCCTTTCATCTCCTTAGCTCCCCACTACAGCTCCCCGAGTCCTCCTTTTCCCATTCCCTCTCCCTCCGTCATGTCCCCAGCTAATCAGTCCATTTTCCTAATAAAATAAGGCACGTGTTGGCCTCAGTGTAACAACCGTAAGTCCGTTCCCGCCATTAAAAGACTTAGACTAAATTCTCCTCTGCCCACCTCAGGCACCTGGTGATTAGCAGTGTGTCTCACACGTCGCGCTCAGTGAGTGTCTGCGAATGAATGGGTGGCGTGCACGAGAAGGGCCCACGAGCCTAGACGGGCCCCGAGAACGCGTGACCACGCGCATGCGTGAGGGAGGGAAGGCCAGCGCGCGCCTGCGCATGAGGGAGGAAGCCTGAGGAAGATGGAGACGGCGAGAAAAAGTGAGCATGTGAGAGGCTCTGAGAGGGACAGGCAGGGCCCAGAGGCTCCTAGAGCAGCTTCTTCTCGTTAGGCCCACAGGGGCCACAGTTAGAACTAATGTTACTCTGTCCCCTCCCCTGTGCCCGTTCGCCCAGCCTCGCCTGAGGCCTGCTTTCCGCGCCGCGTCGACGGGTTGGGCACGTCCAGGCTCGGTGGGGCGGCCCAGGCTCCGCGCCCCTCTTCAAGGGCAGAGCTGCCGGTCCCTGAAGAGCGGGCGGGAATGGCGCCCCAGCTCCATGGCTGGGGCGGTGCACTGGGCCTCACCGTGGACCGAGAGAAGGCGCACG